TAGTGCAATTTACAAAAAAAACTCTTGTTAAAGTTACATGTGTCGTGTCATGTCGTCCTCCTCCGTACGTAGCCATAGGCTTATTCCTCTTCATATAAGTGCATTTCGGGACCACTAGCGGTGGAATCACGTTGGTAATGGATTAGCAGTAAGGAGTACACCTATAGAAAACAGAGTCACCATCAATCGTACCGAAAGTGTACCAGTCTTTTGATGAAGAATAAAGTTATTAGCCTTGTGGGGGGGATCACGTGTCTACCTACGGTTCGTAACTTTTAATTGAAATATTGCGCAGGTAGGAAAAAAACAAATATAAGATGATTGAAATATTCCAGCGAGCTCAATATAAGATGATTACTAGAACGCAATACATTTTTCATGCAATATTGGGAACTCAGTCATCTTACATTTGTCAACCAAACTTGACTTTGTGATGTTTTCATTTCTCTTGTATATAAAATGATATTGGATCTCTCTAGCTTTAGGACCAAAATACTTTTCCGAAGAGAGAGGGAGCTAGATTGTGATTATAACTTACAAATTACATGCTCTCAAAGAAAAATGGTACATTCTCTACTTAAAATGTATGTATAGTATCACAGTAAAATGACTTACATATAACTATTTAGACAAGCCTTTTTATCTTGAAATGTTGACCCTTGAAATGAGTTCCTTTGCCGTAATGGCCAAAGCACAAGGGTTTGCATTTCTCTTGTTTATGTTGGGGCCCCGATAAATCCATCACGATTTCTTTTGCTAGACCGATCATTCAGCCGATGTAACTCAAGGGGACTAGAGAATCATAATCAATATTAGAATTGCTTAAACTTTGGAAATTTAGGTGGTTGATAGTGAAAAAAAAAAGGAACTTGAGATAACTTTTCCTGGAATTAACCAAAAAGCCTGGGGATATTGTTTTCTTTTGAGAAATTCATTTTTTCTTGGGGGAAATAAGAAATTATTAGTTCAAATGGAGAACGACTTTTCTCCTACCTGTAACTTTTTATACGAAATGATTATAAAAACAACATAATAATTGATGATTAGTCTTCTGTTCAAAGGACATTGCAAAAGAAAAAACAGAACCGAATGAATGATCATAAAAATAGAGTTATATAGTCTTCTTCTTTCCTTTGGTGGTTCAATGTTGAAGCATGGGTTCCAAGGCTTTGGTGGTTCAGTGGATGGCTGGCAATTTGCTTAGCTTATGTTGATGATCTTTCGGTTTTTAGGATTCCTTTTTTGGTATTGTGTTACATGTTGTGGCTCCACCCTCGTATTTCAACCACGCATTACACCCTCGAAACCTACCCACCTTCGTATTCCACCATGATCAATATAATTTTCAGATGACAAAATAAAAATTTCATTTTTTAGAAGGATGCTGTTGTAATCGGGTGGACTAGAGAATCAGAAACAATATTAGCAATAAACTTAAATTAAAGTGGTTAGAGCATCTCCAATATATTACACTATTTTTTATACTAAAAATAAATATATTCTTTTTAAAATTTACAAATTAACCCATCAATTTTTTTCAACTTTAAGAAATTATGATATAATTTAAACTTAACATTTATCATTAAAAAACAAAAAATACTATACAAGTATACATCATATAACAAAATATAATAGATTTTATTTTGATTTACTCATCGTCAAACATGTATTAAAATTTGGTTTAATCACCACTAATTATATATATGTTTGCAATTATTTTGACCCACTTAATCTTTAGGCCCACTAAGCAAATCCCTTTGTATTTGAACTCCCCCATCGTGACGTCATAACACTTGACCTTTCGTCATTCATTTCTGAAACCTAGGAAAAATGACGGCTCTCTCTGATCTGCCGGTGGATTTGGTAGATGATATAATCAATAGAATTCCGATAACATGTCTGAGATCATTCCGATCAACCTGCAAAACGTGGAGAGCGTTAACCAAAACCCGGATTTTGGGTAAAGCATCATCGTGGAGGAAGCAATTCATAGGGTTTATAATGATGGATTCGATGATTTGCTCTATGAAATTCAATCTAGAAGATGGAGACTTCATCAATCCTCCGTCGATCAAAGATGTAAGTCGAATTGATGGTATCTACATGTCTCGAATATTTCAGTGTGAGGGTTTATTGTTATGCCTCCGTGAAAAATACAATAGGAATGTCGTTGTATGGAACCCGTATCTGGGGTTAACCAAGTGGATCGAACCCAGAAGAAAACTCGACATTATGCACATCTACGCTTTTGGATTCGATAAGAAGAAGACTTGCCACAAGATCTTGAACTACGTTTCTGGGTTCCAAATCTACGATTTTAGCTCTAAATCATGGAAGCTTCTTGAGGTCAATCTCGACTGTGAGATATGGCTTAACCTAGGAGTAGTGACTGTGAATGGGAATGCTTACTTTGTTGCTCAAAGAAAATTCAAAGAGAGTGTTCCAGAAGAGAGAAAAACACTAAGGAGAACACATGTTTTTTTACTCTGTTTTGATTTTACTGAAGAGAGATTCGGATCGCGTTTGAATCTGCCGGTTTGCGCTCCTACTGAGGATGAAACTAATGAGATGATGACTCTATCGTGTGTTATAGAAGAGCAGCTCGTTGTGTTACATCAAGAACGTCAGAAATTGGAGATTTGGATTTCGACGATGATTGAGCCCAATGCGGTATCGTGGAGCAAGTTTTTGGAAGTGGACTTGATGGCGCTCAATTGTTTACCGGTTGACCTTAATGGTGGGAGTTTCTTCGTTGACGAGGAGAAGCACATTGCTGTGGTTTTTGATCTACAAAGAAATGAACAGAACGATACAATTCGATACCATAAAGCTTACATCTTTGGAGAACATGGATACTTCAAAACTGTGAGTCTTGAGGAACCTGATGAAGGCCAATTCAGATATCGTCGCCAACTTTTGTGCTCTTCTTCATATGTTCCAAGCTTAGTGAAACTGGAGAACAACCAACCGGCGAAAAGGAAAAGAAGAGGTTATTAGTCACTAGTTTCATTTGCAATACTTTATTTGTTTCTTGCATCATTCTCTTGTTTTTTCATTCATTTACTTTCATATGTTTGTGGGCAAGACTGTCTTTCCAATCATCAGAGGTTAGAGAGAACAGATGAAATGATAATGGACTTTATCTTTAGGACTAAACTACTTTTTTTAGTGGTAACATGGTTGGGGTAGAAAATGTTGAACTAAATCTACTTTATTTTGTCTTGAGAACCATCTCTATCTTCCGTTCTTATTTCCCATTTTCACAATTGTGCAAAAACTCAAAATCAGCCTATTGGGCTCCATTACAGAGATAAACAATCAAAGCTCGTTAGAATTTGTTCCCTTTGAGACAAGAACGTAATTTACAAAAAGTATTCAGCATCAATCACTGAAATTTGAACATATACAAAAAACTATTAAGATACACATGAATTCAAATTAAATTCTTGTCGTACATGTACTCTTGCTACGAAACAACGATACGAGGCCACGACTGAAAGAGAGTACCTGTGAATCGTTTTGGTTTGATTCTTTTATTCTTCTATGCTTCAACTTTAAACCCATTATGACTTTTGCCCCATTTTCATAGTAAACCGTACTTTGAAAGTTCCCTTCGCCTTCAGGTTATCGAAGAAAGTTAAAAAACCTTTCTTCCTATATGGATCTTGAAAAGTCATGGTCCTTGCGTTTAACATCTGTAGGTGTTGGAAATGATGGATATAGGTAGTCCTCCGTCCTCCTCTTTGAATGTGTGTTTCTAACTAGACGATGTCCGAAGAACCTTCATCATTGCGTACTTTCTTGTTCTAACAAGGCTCACCTACAAGGAAGA